ATACATACATACATACATACATACATACATACATACATACATACATATACACCGACAGACACCAACAGCCCAGTTTGGGATGGATTGCGCAATCAGAGGTTCAGCTCGGCTCCTTGCTGCCGCACATCACGTTTCACCCCGTATTTCAACAGGAAATGTACAATTTCAGTGATTCAGTGATTTTGACAATTAAAATGTTCGCAATTAGTCATACGTAAAGATCAGCGGACAAATATGAATATGTCATCGTATGTTTTGTCTTGTGATGATGACCGGTGAGGCTCTGCCTCCCCTGACCGCACGTCCCATACATATATATACACAGCTATACAATTGCACTCTGTGTGGCTGTGCAAGTTGAAAACCTTGGAAAAGAATAAATTTTCTCTGATTATTACGTATGTTGGCACTCGGCATCCCCTACCTGTAGCCCCCTACGGTATCCCGGTAGCTACGTTTTGTATGTTGGCACTCGGGTGTTCAGTTTGGCCGTTTTGGCCTCAGTTTGTGGAATCACATCCTTTGTTTTTTAGGGTGAGCAGCTCTGATGATGTGTTACAGCATCAGGCACCAAACTACCTCGGCATACTTTACAGGATAGCCTTTAGAGAAGTTGGCGAACATAAAACCCCGAGATTTACACCGGTTCACTGTCTGATCGCTGACTGCGATTCTCCACTTTGCCACATTCAAGATGGCGGCGAAGTTGACGTACGTTGCAGCCCTCAATGCGGCGTCTACGTATTTACGTCTGTGAATTCTACAGAGTAGTTAGCTTCATGCTAACTGTAACAGGAAGAGCTACGGAACAACTTCATTAAAGAGAACTATCAAAAATATAGTGCTAATTTAAAATGTGCAACGGGTGTGTGCAGAAACAGTATCCCGACAGGGTAAGTTTAGGTTGCCGAGACGGTCCAGTAACTGTTTGAACGCTCAAATGCTACATTAATATACTATTAATATAGTTAATATACTATTAATGTAGCAAATACCAACCACCTCCAACATGATGCGGTGTTACAAAAATTAAGAGCAAGTGTCCGAAATCGTACAAAAGTCTCGGATATGAAGGTATGATAGATATTTATTCCTCGTCCAGGGTAACACTTGCCTGGAGAACGGCTCTTACCTGATGAACTACCTGGGCTGCGCCAGTTGCCATCAGCGGGACTTCGTGCTAATAAGCAACAAAGCCACCGAGGATGAAGATGGAGAGGAAATTGTCACATATGACCGTGAGTATAGTTAAGAGTCACTAGATTTAGCATCACAAGCTCTATTAGTTATTGGACATGTTGATAACAATAATATCAATTCAAGACATTCTGTTAAACTCATGTTGGGGGAAAAAAACACACTAATCTCCATTTGTCTTTTCCAGATGTTTGTAAAAACTGTGACCACGTCATTGCCAGACATGAGTACACTTTCTCTGTTGTCGAGGAATATCAGGTAACTTTATCTCCTTTATTTACTCTGCTCAAATTCTAACTCAGTCAGTGTTTTGCTGTGGTCTCATAGGTCTGTATTGTGTCTTCCAGGAGTACACAATGCTCTGCATGCTGTGCGGTAAGGCAGAAGACTCCATCAGTGTGTTACCAGACGACCCCAGACAGTCTGCACCACTTTTTTAGACTTCCAACATCAACAGACCTGCAGTTTTTAGATAGACTGTCCACCACCATGGCTCCAACAGTTTTTACCATACAATGCAAAGTTTTTAAGTCCATGGAACAACACGTACGACTCTGTATCAGCCTGTAAGCCGTGTGTTAACACTGTTCGGCGTGCTAATGGTGCATGAGGCGTTTTCATATGCAGCAGGACTAAATCATTCTGAATGCCATTTACCATGCACTGTAAATAAAAAGATTTGTTTGACTTTTCTTACATCCATGATGTATTATACCGGATGTTGCAAAGTCAGAATGATCTGAAACTGAGCTCAAAATATTTGAAAAATCAGTAGAAAAGAATAATACCAGAATCCCTCGTTGAAGGGTCAAAGCATCAAGAGCCTTCATAAATTTGTAACCTAATGCAGCTGGTTTCTGAAGTATGTTAATACTGATGACATGGAATAAATAAATAAATCTGATCCACTTTCACCTGAGAAGTTCTACTGCCATTTAAAATGCCGCCTTCCTCCACCTGTTAAACTATAGTGTGCATAGCAGTGTTCAGAGTTAAAACATTTCCCGTTTGCACGACAGAAGAGAAACAAAAGTCTTTGCTGGTCGACATTATGATGTAATTTCATCGGAAGCAGGTCAATAAAATTACAAATGCTTCAGCCAATTGGACAAGTAATAAATAAAAAAGAAACCCATTTGCAGTGATACTCATGCACATTTACAATACTGAAGTATGAGTGCACTTCACATGTACACTTATGCTGATGCTTGTTGGGTGACATTTCTAGCAACATGAAAGCACACTACAACACTGATATGCCAAAATAAGCAGTTCATTGTTAAATACTATAATTAATTATCAGTTTTATTAAAACAAGGTCATTATAGGACTGCATGCCCTGGCTCTTTTGTTCATGGATGCTGACTTAGATATAGCGCTTGGAGTGTTCTTTACTATCATAGTGTTTCTAATGTCAATGCATGGTTTCTATAATTAGCAATTACCATTATCTTAATGATACATATCTACAGGTAACTTATTTTTGTTTTTTTACATCCCTCAAGTATTAAACATAGTATTTTTGGTCTCGTAGTAATTCTAAATGTAGCTTTATTAGAGTGAAATGAGAGTTCAGAGTTGGCAATCTCTAGATTTTCTCCACACCTTTTTCACATCCAAATAAATAAATAAATACAATTTATCATACATTTTACATTACATACAGTACATTCCCTTGGGTAAATACCTTATTTACACATGCTGTCAGGGACCAGAGATTAGGCAGCCTCTCGCTACAGCTTGAATAATCCACATCAGTCATTCGTGAGAGAGTCATCGAGTCACTTTCCCGGAGCCTCTGCCCTCGCAGAGTGGACCTCTTCCTCTGGAGCTGAGGCCCCACTGACCCAGCCCCGTGGCCCGCTCCTGTGGGTGGATGTGGCGAGGAGGAGGGGAGCCCGAGAGGCTGGACGGAGAGCGGCTGCGTCCCTGCAGTGTCCCGCCGTCGCGGAGCTCCTGGCGAGAAGGGGAGGAGCTTAAGGAGCGCTGCAGGGACGAAGACGAGCTGCGAGGGCGAGGAGGGGGGCTGAAGAGCATCCCGCTGCGGTCCTGCATCAGCTGGGTCAGGCTGGCCAGGAAGTCGGCATCACTGGTGCTGCTGGCACGCACCCTCAACCGCCGCCGCCTGGGGCAGAGAAGCGTGAAGACAATCTAGTTTTTTCATTTATTCACTGCTCAGTGTGGCATCCAGATTCAAGCAGCAGCAAACATTATCCAGAGGTAACCATTTCTTTTCAGGCAGACAGGTAAATGAACTGGTGTTCTGAATTTTCCCACAAGCTGACACATCGGGGTTGTTTAAATTCACAGAAAAAAAAAGATAAAATGATAAGCTCTTTGGGTTCGCATCACCCTCACACGTACCTGTTGTCCACACATGGACGGGGAGGTGGTTTCCCAGGAGGTGGTCGAGGCAGAAACCTGCTACTGAGCTGCTCTGGCAGAAATGAGGCACTCACAGGACGCGGGATCCTACTTTTACTCCCTGAGGAGGAGGACAGGGACAGAGGGTCTTCACCTGCACAGTCGGACCTGGAGACTCTGTCTGAAGTCAGCCTGTCTCTCGGCAGAGCGCAGGGCAGGTTGTCGCAGGACAGAGAAGGAGACGGCGAGTGCGTGGGGGAGCCGGGCGCCGGACTGCTCCAGCGGTGTCGCCTCTCCATGTTGGGATCCCTGCTTGGAGAGTCCAAAGGGTTGCTGGGATCTCGGACAGGAATTCGACTCAGTCTTGGGGAAGAGGGAGAATCTCTCCTCCGGAGAAAGGCTGGAGGGGGAGACGAGGACACCGTGACGGTGCTCTCAACTGCGCCTCCTGCTGTGTCAACTTGAGGTTGCTGATTCGGCTCGGAAGAGCGATCGGGAAGGCCGGAATCGCTTTCCGGGTCTCTGTCATTGGTCAGGTGAGCCGTGGGGCCCTTGGCTGGGCTTAACACGGGGACCAAGTCCAACCTCTCCTTCTCCTTCAAGCTTTCCCCTGCAGGTTCTTCCTGTTTCCCAGAAGGTTCCTGCAGTGCTGCTGCATCGCTCCTCTGAGCAGACGACTGCGGCACACCACTGGAAGACTAAAGGGAATTCAATGATTAGCATGTGAAACGTGTACAGAAGTACTGACAAAAACAAACAACTGAGTGCCTCAGTGTAGATATCTTTAACGTTGTATCATCAGTATTTACAACACCTAACTGAGAAAACGCAGTAAAGCTGGATTTGGGTTCCTACTGGTATGTCAGGTTTATCATCCCAGTGCTGCTTGCAGTGTTAAAAACATTTTTGTCGCTCCCACCTGGTCCATCTGGGGTCTTCCCATGATGACTGAAGGCATCTGTCCCAACATCCCTGGCAGACGCCGGTGGCCCAGTAACCACGTGCCAGGCATGGCCATCTGGGACAAAACAGGGCTGCTGGGCACCGCGGTACTGGCCTGGCCCTCCGGCTGCTCGGAGGGGTGCTTCTCGGCTTCAGAAACAGTGCGGGTTCCAGGCTTCTCCTCTTGCTGGCCTTCTGCTGGAGGCCTGCTTCCGGCTGATGCGCTGCCCTGCTCTAACTCCAGCATCACCCACTCCTGAGAGTCTCCCTCATGGGGTGCAGGGCTGACGTTTACAGCAACGAAGCCACTGCTTGCTGCTCCCTCCTCTGGGTCGGGGGTTGCGGTGCCAGAGCGCTCCTCCGGGCCAGAAGCCGACTGCTGCCCGTGTCCCACCTCAGGAATGCATTTCTCCCCGACGTGCGACAGGACGGGACGCTGTTTCCCTAAGCTGGAATAACAAAAAAATGGATTAAATGCATTGTAGACCAGCTCTAAATTTCAGATGTGGTTTATTGTTGTGTGTCCTGAGCACTCACTATGCTTCCAGGAAGCGCTCTATGGTGGGCTTGGGTTCAGGTGCAAGCCTCTTTTCGAATGCCAAGCTCTGGCTGTGCCTCATCCTCCGGAGCAGCGGTGCAGCCCGGTCTAAGAACATGGTCTCCGATCGCACCCGTCTGGGTGAACTCTGCATGGAGCCAGTGTTGGGACTTTGGTTTCCCTGATTCTGACTGTGCTCATCCTCACTCACCACCTGAAAACCATAAATGATGATGGCTTAAAACACTGTAATAATACGACTATATCGCAGAAAAATGTGACAGGCACTCATTGGCCCCACATGCATGTCACTACAGTAGCTAAAACCTAATGAGCTTTCACAGTACACTGCATGTCCCTGACCTTCCTGATCACTGGCTGTGCTTGCTTTTGGTTCCGGTTGCGGTCCATCTCCTCCCATACATCTGCACCAGGGGTGGTCGGTGTGGGGATGGGGGGGCAGTTGTCAGCGTCACTGAGCCGCTCCCCTTGAAGGACATCCTCAGTGTTCTCTCGCTGTAGCTCGCCCGGCAGCACTGAAGCGTTGGCCATGCTGTTGAGGAGAGGAAAGGTCACCCTGCAGCTCATTTCCACAGCACAATTTAGAGCAGTGATTTCTCTGGGATCTCCGTCTGTGCAGATTTACAGTCTAAATAAAGCTCCACATTGGAGTTCATATCCAGTAGAGTGTAAAGAAAGCTTGCACAGCACAAGTGAAACTGCGCCCACATCCAACTGCAGTTGGGAAGCTGAAGGCCAAAGTGTCAAAGGTGATAGTTTCCGGGTACCCTAGGTAAGCTGGTGTGAGGCGAGTGAGCTGCTGAGCAGTGGTTGCTGCGGCAGTGATGGTCAGCATATCCTCTGAATCACATTTCTCCCAGTCATAGGGGTCATTCTCCAGCACGCTGTGGCTCTTCATGGCCTTGTCAAACACTGACATCAGAAGCTGTCTCAGGGAAAAACGAGATACGCACACATCAGCATTTGATAGCTGGAGAGGAATAAACTGTCAATGCAAAATACGCCAAAGAAAAGAGACCTGATAGTCAGGTTTAGTGAAATAGTCCAGGATCAAGATATGATCCAGGAAAGAGCTGAACTCTGTGGGGAGGTGCTTCAGCATGAGTCGATGGTCATACGTCTCTTTCAGATTTCCGACTTGTTCCTGCATCGAGGGGGGCAAGCAACAGTAAACGAGTGACCCCCAGGTGAATTGCAAACTTAGGACTAATAAGTCATACAGGCACGTACTTTGTCTTTAATTTTCCTCCAGGGAAGCTGCCCAACCATGAACTCAACCAGCATGTAGAACAGGGACCACAGATCGTCATGACGACCCATCTCCTGCGGATTCAGATACGCAATTAGGGAAATAAAAAAAAGGTCAGTTCAGAGTCAACGACAAAGACCTGTCATGATCTTAGTGATCAGAGCCAGTTCTTGCTCAACATTTAGATGCAATATCAAATGTCTCCATGCATATGTCTCGCATTTTCCCAGAACATTAAATGTACCATTATAACTTACATTTCTCTTTTAACATGCAAATTTATGTGCTCTAAAAATTCCCAATGAAGAATCTACCCTCAGTGTGGTCTTTTTGCTTGATTAAGAGGTTTCTCTTTTTGTCTTTTGGTTACTCAGAGTTCAGTGCGTGTTTCAACAACATTAAAACCTTTGTCAAATTAAGAGAGTATCTAATAATTTCTTGTTTGTATAACACTTTTCATTTAAATCTGAGTCGCAGTTCCATCAAGCATCCACACAAAAAGCTGCCACTCCCTGAAATCAGCAGCAATCAAAGGTTTAACATCCCAGAGCCAGACGAGACATCTTGTTTTCATGCCACAACAAGTCAGAGCTGTGGAGGTGTGAGGGAGTCTACAGCATAACAGGGATGTAGCGTCAAAGTTCCGACTGGTAGCTGTAGGACCGTGGGCAAAGCTCACCTTATTCTTGTGCGCATTGATTGAAGCATAACGCACGGTTCCCCTGAAACCTGCCACAGGACGAGGCTGGAAGACAACACACAGACATCAGATCAGAAAGCACCTGCTACAACAGAAGCTATTAGATAAATTATAGATGTCAAGCATTTGGATGTAAAGGCCAAAAAATGTATCAGGTCTTTTTTTTCCTTTCAGATTTCAGATTTTAAAACAGATCTCAGCTCAGATGGTACTTCATGAAAACTGGTGTCACATATTTTGTTGTGTTTGAACTTTGAAACTTAGATGATGTAGATGACTTACTGGACGGACTTCTTGATTGGAGTTGGTAAATTGACGGGCCAAACCAAAATCAAGCATGTAGCAGCATCTGCAGGTGCTGGCCAGCCGCCCCATTGCAAAGTTTGACTGCAGAATTGACAAAAATATGCAGAACTCCAGATGACATCATGCATCTATGTTTTTTTTTGTGTGGAATAAACAATTATAAATTAATCCAGTTAGTTTCCTATCCTTGACATGGAGGTCAACTGTAGCCCACGGTGGTCAGCTTACCGGTTTAATGTCTCTGTGCAGGAATCCCACAGAATGGATGCTTTCAATGGCCTCTAAAATCTGCTTGCCAAGTCTCAAAGTTGTGGAGATGGAAAAAGTGCCGCGGGTCATTGTTCTACGCAAGTCGGCCAGATTCCTCCCCTGTAGGAAATCAGGGTTGTGCGTTACATTCACGATGGGGAGAAATGTTCTGTGGGTGAATAACTGGACTGACTGACTGGATCCTACCTGGAGTTCCATCACCACATAATTGAAACGATCATTCCTGCCACAGCCGACAAAGCGACACACATGATCTTTACCTGTCAAAGAAATATTTATTGTAAAATGCATACACCTTTACGTCAGTCATATCCTGTTTGTTTGCATGACTCTTTTCACTCAGCAGTCTGCTGAATAAGATCTTCACATATCAATAGTTTGCAACTCTAAATGTCAACAGAACACAGCTCAGACAGCATCTACTGACATTATCCTTATGGATTTAGTTGCCAATACCACTGCAATGCCGTGGAATCATTTTAGTTTTAAGCCAAACAGAAATGGGGATCCAAATCATTAAAAGGCTGTGATCTGTTGAAGTTGCAGCAAAAAACTTAGGCCCTGATTATCCTAACTTACACTGACAGAGAAAAATAATAAACAGTTAATTACAATCTCAAAAGCATGCTTTGGTTTTTGTCCCAATCCAAGAGCAAGGGAAGCACTCACCCTGCAGCTTCTTCAACACCGCCACCTCCATCTTCAGCACCTGTTTGGGTTGTTGAGCTGACTCAACCTTCAAGGCCACTGTGGCCTGGCTCAGCTGATCCAGGACCTCATAGATCTCCCCGAAGCCACCGCCGCCTATCTTCCGGATCTGAAACCAAGGCGCGAGTCTTTGCTGTGAACAAGTGGCGCGCTTTGATTTCTTATCAGTTATGATTTCAGTGACGCCTTACCACTTTCCACCTGTCTCTGACCACATCTGCCACCGACAGGATGTCTGTGTGCTCTCCAGCCCCACTCATCCTGAGCGCTCTCAGTCGCAGCCCGCACCTGGCATCAGTTTCGCAAGCACCTCACTGAAAACATTCAGGAGATTCAAAACATGAAAATACCATAAAAATACACCCACCTCGGCTTCCTCTGCCATTACAACAGGAGCTAACAATGACTCGATGTCCCCCCTTTCTGCGCTGTGACGGACACGTGTGGACAGCTTAAACGGCACCTCACGTCCCCAAGACTGATTTATGTTCGCTAGCCGACAGTCTATAGCACATAGCATCGTTTAGGTTATTCAAAGTAAACGCCAAGAGGCTCCATAACCAGCGTAGCAAAGCGGCAATCACAAAATGCAAACGACTATACGAGAGACGGGGAAAGATAAGTCGTTTAAGTAGCAAATTGTGGTGGTTGGCGTTGTCCACTGCGGCAGCTCAGGTGGTCCCGTTAAGAAGCTAATTAGCATGTTTCCCAATGAATAACCGAGAAGCGGCAACCCCCTCGCAGCCCTCTTACCTCGCTGCGCTGCACATTTGCCAAACCAGCTAGAGTGTAACGTCCAAACCGTCTCCATGCCCCCATTCTGCCCTTAGCCAGACGAGTCATTCCAGGCAGTTGTTTATTTTAGAAGCGGAACAGTGGTGGTGGACCATCGCTAGCGCTAGCTACCGTTAGCCAGCTAGCTGCTAATGGATGGGGAAGGATGCCCCCTGCGCTTCCTCACAGGCGTCTTGCTGACGTCATAAGGCTCGTGTCTCCTCGTTGATTCCGCAGACTCCTGCACCCCCCCCCCCCCCAAAAAAAACGGTGTTTCACCGCAACTTACTTATTTCATCAAGTCCCATAAAATGGAATGTTTCCAGCAGAGGCATCACAGTAGCAAACTGTCCTAAACGCTTTATGCTTCATTTACACCCTGCATCACCAACACAACCTGTGACATTTTGCTTAACCTTTAGTATTTACAAAGATGAAATATCTCCACCAAATTAAGTAAGTTCATTCATCCTCCCATAAGTGTTCTTGAAATGATATTTCAATTTATTTGAGTTAATAGTTCTCTTCACATGGATTTCCAGGGCAAAGCCTCCAAAGTACAAACAGATCTCACAATAGATCTCCAAGATGTCGCAGCCCACTGAGGAGCATCACAATATGTTGTGCCATTACTGTAATTTACATACAAAATAGAACCACATTTTGAGGAAGAGGGGCAAAAATACATAAAAATGACCATCATTTCAACCAAACGTCTAACTGAAACCATGACAACACAGCAGATGTCGACCTGTTTCTTTCTATTTTTTACATGTAGTTTAGACTTTCATGAAAAGTTACTGCCTTTCTTTACAATATTTCATTTAAACTGCATAATTTTGGAGGAACAAGAGGGTCCCAACTATTTTTTAGTAGTCCAGAAAGAAAACTGTTTTATAATCATGCTGAAATGAGCAAAGTCCTCTCTGAAGAAAGTTATATTTTGGATGCAAACATTTAGCTCCAAAACCTATGTAGCCTATATCATTTAAAAATAACAGTACATTTACTGAGGTACAACTTCCACATGGACACTAATACACCCCAACATGCCTGCTTTTGATTTAGGCTACGTCTGTAGATTAGTCTATGAATAATACAAACTGTTAGTATTAATGGATATTTCATTAACAAGTTTTTGCCTTCTTCTGTCCAGACAGAAATTTCATGATCATTTCAACCTTTAATTAAATTTGTCTTTCCCTATCTTTATTTCTGAAAGAGTTTGTGATGCTCCCATACCGGCCTGTTGATTGTTGATGTTTTGTTGGCATTCTGTCTTTTTTTGTTTTCCACTTAAATATAACACACTTATTACAAGGAACCCAATAAAGATTGAGGCATACCAATCATATAACAAGAAACTTAGTTCACAGCAGCACTTACATTTAAATGTAGTGTTCAATGAAGTGACCATAGCCAACTGACCTTTAGGTAGGTTTCTAAACCAAGTTAATCCCCTAGTATACCTGGCTTTAAAAACTGTAGCAAAAAATTAAAATAAAAGAGAAAAAACAGTTATGATTTCCCCAGCCAATTTCCCCACGTTGATATATCTGCACTAGGCATCAATGCTACGTAGCTAGCACCCACTCGATGTGAGGTGAGTTGGAAAAAACCCAGAATGTTGCACCGAAATTGAAAGTCAACATTTCATAACACCAGTTCTCAAGCCAACAATGAGTGTCTCAGTTCTTTTTTCACCGTCCATGAGTAAAACAATTTACAAAATAACATCTACCTATAAAAATGTCGTAAAAATCCGAAGAAATTTGCATTATCTCATCCTGATAGATGAACGACACCATGGGAGTAAAGCCTAGCTTAATAGATTGTATATATAAGCCTAGCATTCCTTTAACTCCTAAGCAGTAAAAATGCTAAATCTACGTAGAATAAACTTTCCTTTCAGTGGATAAAATACTGCTGAAGACGTGTGAGGAAACTTTTGAACTCGTAAAGCATTTGTTTTTTATTTAAGGGTCGTTCATCAGTGACTTGTGGATGAATTTGGCCCCCTCATGTGGAAACTCCCGTCCGTGGCCTTGAATCTACCCCCACGACGACCCGCTGCTCTGAGCCCTGCCTTCGCTGGCGGGACGTCGAGGGGAGTAAAACAAGCGTACGCAGACGCGGGATTGGGCGTGACCCGACAATCGGATTGGATAACAGGATGCGAGTTGAGCTGTTTTGGGGTGAGGCGCTGCGTTCGAGGTGGTAAAAACTTTATGCGCTTTTTGCGCAGTTTCGCAGGGTTTCACGCGCTCCGGACGAAGCTAAGCTGCAGCCTTTTGCCCCAGCAGCTACTTTCAAATTTGAGAAAATACCCGCACAGGCCGCAGCACGGCATCGTTTTCACACTTTCACCGTGCCGTGCGTGGCTTCACGCGTTGATACGAGTAGCTGGGGGGGGGGGGGGGGGGGGGGGGGGGGAGTAGTTGTGGACATGTTTTCCTGGAAGTGCACAGTTTTACGGATCCGCTGTGCAACGTTTTGACTACAGCATTAAAAAGCCTCCCACGATCGGCCGGACTTTGGAGTGTCTTCTCGAGGGATCGCGAGGTCGCCTGTTCGCCATATTGCGCGCAGCCAAACTCGGTGGAAAGTTGTCAAGAGTTATGACATTTGCTGCGCACGATCCCGTCATGGACATGCATGCTGTCGACTTTGATCGAAACCAAAGGGACTCCATGGAGCTGTCCATGGAGAACTCTGTGCGCCAATAAGAAGGTATCTGAACTAACCTTTGAGTAACGCTCACTAATCTGCCGTATTGCTTCACAACTCTTAGCCCCCCCCCCCCCGACGCTTCCTTATTGCTTATTTGTAACATTACTGGCTGTCGCTCTTGTGATTGCATGAGCCCCTTCGTTTCCTGTATTTCTTGTTGTGCCAAATGGCAGCTGTACAGTAAGCGCCTCCTTATTGCTGCTGCCTGTCGCCTCAGAGCTCTCAGCTCTCTGCACGCACCTGAACTCACACTCCGAAATACTCGTTTTCTTTCTAAGTTTCTTCATTTGAACGTTTCACTGCACAGACAGGACTCTCTGCTGGCGCAAGCCTCAGTTTCCTCTTTGCCTCTGGTGCCTGCAAAATCGAAAAACGACCTCTTTTTTTATTCCTCATTAAAAAACAAACAAATGTCTGACCTCTCTGTCTCTTGTCATAAGGTCTGGCTGCCTAAAGAGGATGAGAAGAATGGACAGGAGACTACACATTTGACGACTGGAGGAGGGCTGCATGTTCCCCGCCCTGCACTTTCCTTTGGGATTTATGTTTCCTCCCAGAGACCTCTGTATACACAATTACAGAATTTCTCGACCCCGGGCAAAGAAAGGCACACTACAGAGGAACTAGCCAAGTTTTGCACGCTCCCACACCCAGATTGAGAGCTTTGACTTCAGCGCTTTCTTGCCTTTATAATATTACTATGAGTCTTCCTTCTCAAGTCAATACTGACAAGAGTAAGCATCAGACTGCAGCTATGAAGGAGGCTGTGCAGCGTCCAGGTGAGGTTTATTATGGAATGGGACCTCCAGCTTTAAAACCCAACCACAGTGATCCGGCAAGCAGCTCGGGTGTCTATAACCCAGAGAAAGGGCCCCAAGGTGTGCCCCACTATCAACATGGTGCCCCAGTAAAATGGATGCAGGACCCAATACAGGCGTCCAACTGGTCCCAGGACGCTCCGGTGGGGGCCTGGGGGCAGAACTTCGGCCCGTACGTAGGCGGGGTGAATGTCAGAGGTCAGATGGCCTTCCACAAAGGGGTTCACGAGGCCGCACCCATGCCGATGGGAGGCGAGAGCCAGCTTCCGGCGTCTGTGGACGTTTACAGGGATGCCACCCAGGCTCAGGCTCAGGCTCAGGGGAGGGGACTGGAGTGGGAGCAGCACGCTGCTATGCAACAGGCCAAACTGCAAGCCTATCAGCACAGCCACGCGGGCGCGGAGCTCCAGGGACAGTCGCACGTGTCCTCCCACGGCATGCAGGGCCCCATTCTGCAGCCCTTCCAGGCCTCCTTCAGACCCAACAAACAGCAGTTCTCGTCCGGATACTACTCCGTCTTCCCGGGAAACAAGCCGATGCCGAACCTGGCCTACGGCGAGCAGCCCAAAACCCAGCAGCAGCAGCTTCTCCACCAGATGAAGCAGCAGCAAATGCACCATCACCACCACCAGCAGCAGCAACAACAACAACAGCAGCAGCAGCAGCTGCATCAGCAGCAGCATCAGCAGCACCACCTGCAGCTGCAGCATCAGCAGCAGCATTTACAGCAGCAGCAGCACCTCCAGCAGCAGCAGCTGCAGCAGCAGCAGCTGCAGCACATGCAGTACCACCAGCAGCAGCAGCAGCTGCAGGAGCGGCAGCAGCAGCAAATGCAGCAAATGCAGCAGCAGCAGAACGTGCCGCAGCCCGACGCGCCGCCGAAACAGCCGCCGGGCCAAAGCTTCGGGGCCTACCAGCCCCCCGAGCCCCGGCCCCCCGACGCGGGGGCCAAGGGCGACGCCGTCCGGTCGGAGCCGGAGCTTCGACCCGGCGACGCGGCAGCCGAATCCCAACCGCGCCCCGACAAGGCCGACGCGAAGCCCGCAGAGTCCGGAGAGCAGGCGGCGGCGGCGCCCCGGCGCTCACGCCGTCTGTCCAGAGAGGGCCAGTCCCCCCTGGGTCCCCCCTCCACAAGCATATGGGCTCAGGCCTCCAAAGAGTCGTCCCAGAACGGAGTGGCCGGTGTGCCGGCCGCCAGAGGAGGGGAGGGCCAAGCGGCAGGTGGGGGGGTCATCCAGATGTCCCGCAGGAGGAGGAGAGCGTCCAAGGAGATCAACCTGGAGACTCTCGCCCAGAAGGCCTCGGAAATGGAGTCACTGCCCGCTAAAGCGATCAAGGTTAAAAAACAATTACCCCCTCATCAATATGCTGTAGATAATGTTCTTAACTGTGGGGCAAAACGACGATTTAAACCCTTTACTGAAGTAGGAGCCCATTCAAGAGCGAATAGCAAAGGTTTACATTTATGCATGTGAGAGGAAATTTTCTTTAGTGGAGAAAACGGGCAGGCTGCTGTAAAAAGAGGAAGAGCCCTGTTTCTGTGCAGAACTTCCCTACGGTTTACAAAATCCTTTTCTTACGTCGTACGTCTGGACTCCAGGAGCCGTTTGTTCCGGCTGTCCAGTATTGCCCAATGCAGGCTGGCTGACGGCACAGCTCTGAGCGGCTCACAGAGCCAAACCTCCACCGCGCCGCAACCAGTAATACTAGTCGCAATTCAAGATTTTTCCCGAACGAACGTAGCAAACACCCTGTTCTTGTAAGAAAGACGAGGCTGTCTTTGCACTGTTTACATTAGGGATGCCGCACCCACCGAGAGATTCTGTCTTTTCTCGTAAGCTGTTTTTTTTTTATTTTATTTTTTTACAACAAACGGTAAACACAGGGACTCGTATTTCCCTGGAATTAGGAGGCATCGTGTTGGGTTTTGGGTGCAGAGCGTGTAGGCTGGATGTACAGTTCAGAGCAGCTGCATGTCTGCACACCTCCACATTCCTCAGAGCTTTCAGCAGTCATTCATAGGAAGGAGGGAGGAGGGAGGGGCAGGGCTGCCAACCTGCATGGCCACACTTCGATTCTCCCCAAACAGGTTCAATGTATCACTCCATGCCGTTGAGCTGTTGTTATGTGGTTAGTGAGTGGCACTTTTCTGGGTCAAGAGACAATATTAACATGACTTTTTTCTCTTCTTTGTCTCGCCGTTAAATCGCCCACCGGATTTATACTTTTCGCTGCCGCCAGTGTTATGTGGGATTACTGAAGGGTCACGTGGGCTTGACCAGAATTACCAGATTGTGCTTTTATGGAAGACCACAGTAAATTTGGACTCATCTAACAAGATGGTTCAGAGGGTTAAAGAGAAAGCTTCACCCTTTTTTTTTTTTTTTTACATTTGACCATAACTTTGAACTTGTCAAAGACTATTGAATTAAGATTTTTGTTTCTCAACTAAAAAATGAAAGGTGAAGTTATTTCGTTGTTTGATTTAATTGAAATCAGTCAAACTGAGGAAAATACCCTTTTGTTTTTGTTGTGGAAACTGGTTTATTAAGATGTGTGTAGATAATGTACGCTCAGCACAACTTCTGCTTTTCTGTTTCTCACTCCCTTCCCTGACCTCCCACTGGCTCTCCCTTTCCCGTCTCTGGCCTTTCTGTCCACTTTGTGTGCCTGCAGGAGGATGGCCCCCCCGGCAAACAAGCCGCCATCGTGCCCCTGGTCATCCCCGTCTCCGTGCCGGTGCACAGGAGCCCGGGGGATCTGCAGGGCCGCTGGGACCCAGGGCGCCCCGTTCAGGGTGAGCGACCTGCCGGAGAGCAGGACCACAAACCCTCCGTCATCGTGGCTCGCCGGCGGTCGCTCCGAAATTCCCTGTCTGACAGTATAGATCAGGTTTGTTCTCAAAAGGAGGAAAGATATGCACTGCCCTCAGAATGGGGAGGAATATGCACACAGGCATTTTTTTTTCTACCAGCAGATCTTTAACGGATGTGTAATTCTTTAACGTGCACCTGAATCGCTTTCTCAGGATGGAGAAAACGATCCCGGACTGGATGAGGAGGGGAAAGCTAAAGCCAAGCGCCGGCCTCGTCCCGAGCCCCTCATCATCCCTCCTCCCAAACCCTCCACCTTCATACCCCCGTCTGTCTACTCCAGCATCACCGCCTACCAGAGTAACCTGCGCTCCCCCGTCCGCCTGCCGGACAATCCCCACGCCCTGCCGCCCTACACCCCCCCGCCCATCCTGTCTCCGGTCAGAACGGGCACGGGGCTCTACTTCTCCACCTTCCTCACCAATATAGCCGTGAGCAACCAAATCCTGCCCCCTCCGGTCACACCCAAGTCTGCCACACGCAGCCTTCTGCGCTCCTGTAAGTCTGGATGGCTGTTTCTGATCATATGCACTTTTTTGATATTCTTGAAGTTTTTATTTGATTTTTATTTTTTTATTTATCTTGCAGCAAGTTCAGAAATTACCCCTCCGGTCTTGCCTTTGATCACTGACGCCACACCTGTGAGCCTCGAACCGTGAGTACCACAGCATCCATCTCCAGAGTTTTTTTTATTTGCCTCGCTTCCACTGTCACAGCGCTATACTTTGCCTTGGCGTTCAGGCGCATCAACATCGGCCTGCATTACCAGGCAGAAATTCCCGACTTGCAGGATCGGCTTTCCTCCCAGTTTGACGTAGACAAAGCCGACCTGGTTTGGCTTCCGATGGGCGACTCCAGCGTGAAACACCGTGAGCCCATAGGACCGCCGTCCTCTCACGGCCGTGGTCTGTATTCCGTGTGACCCCTTCGTCCAAACCTCTCCTCATTTTTGCTTTTCAGTGGAAGATTTGATGAAAGTGGCTTGTTCAAGCGTTTTCCCTGGAGGAGGAACCAATCAGGAGCTGATTTTGCACTATTTACATGAATGCAACGGGGATTTCCTTGTAAGTAAGATGACTGTCGATTCCCTTTGCAAGAACATCTTCATGATTGTACACATATCAGATATTACACTGTCATTACTTAGCCCTCATGAGTGTTCCATATTTGAAGCCTTTTGTCTCACTTCTGTGTTAATCTGAAGGAAATGCTGGAGCGTTTGATGCTTCAGGGCCATTTCTTCCCCAAAGGCCATCCCCTGGCAGGTTATCACTACTCAGGTGCAAACGCTTTATCAGTTCATCAAAACATTGTTATATTTCTTTCTTTCGCCTGCCTCCTTTAGTTCAGTTTGTCTTTAAGTGTTTCCTCATGAGTGTTTGTTTAGCATACCTGTATCTGTTTTTCTCCCAGGCTCAGACAACTGGACTGCAGATGAAAAATGTTACTTTAATAAGGGGATCTCTGCGTACAGGAAGGATTTCTTCATGGTTCAGAAACTGGTATGCATGTGTATTGGAACCTGCATCCCAAGTAAAGAATAACTGATCCCTCCTTTTACTTATTGAGGCATTTTAATGATTACCTCAAAGAAACAATGTTGTTTGGGGGCTATTGTAATCGACATGAATTCAGATGTGATGAAAAATGCAGACAGGAAGTGGATGCTGCTCTCAAACAGAGGTTAAAACTTAAAAAAGTTCCCAAAAGTTCAAAAGAGAAGAAAATCAGACTGAATAAATCACATCCTCTTTGTGGCAGGAAGTCTGGTTTATCGCAACAACAACAATAGCACCGGCAAAGCCAGAGACTTTTCTTATTTATATATTTAAATCACGTGTACAGAAATGCCTCTTGAAGTTCCCAAATTGGGGGGAGATTAAGAAACCATCCAGTAAGGAGTTTACATGAGGTTGTTCCTCTGATTCCCTAACACATTGCGCATGTCTCTCGAACTCTTTTGAAGGTGCAAACTAAGACGGTGGCTCAGTGCGTGGAGTTCTACTATACATACAAGAAGCAAGTGAAGATCGGTCGAAACGGCATTTTATCCTTCGGCCCTCCAGATTCACCCGCAGAAAAACACACAGAGGCTGTGGTGGATGTTAAGGTGAAGCAGACTCCCTAATTTTATTCTTCATCAGGCGTGAGAACTGAAGCAAAACATATTCACTAGTGTTCTACAGTAAGAAAATGTCATTTGGAAGCAAAACAAATCTCTTTGAAAAAGACTGTCTGTCTGAGACTGTCCAGGGTGGGATGAAATGGAGTGGTACAAGGTGGGAATATTTAAACTCATCCAGTAACACACAGCTCCCAAACTTTCTAAAACAGCTGGTGCTCAGGTCAGACTTCTCCTCCATTTCATGACCTTATCAACACAAAAGGCTTTTATCTACTTAAAAACAATTGTCTTACATCTCAAACAAAGTCTTCTAAAAGGACATTATGGGATTTCTTTAAAAGGAGAGACCAGAGACTGAGAAGCTTCTGAAACATGTCAGAAGGATTATTGGACAGTTACAGAGGCGTCAAAATTGTGAATGAAGTGATTTGGTCGGCCTGGGGAGGCAGAAGTGGCAGATTAGAGTGGGGAACAGGACATGATGACCTATAGGAATAAAGATAGATTGAGGGAACCACATCTTCCCTGTTAAATGTGTGTCTGCTGCGGTTCATTACAGAGTTCCCATCTGCCCAAAGGAGAGGCAGTGGACGAAGACAGAAAAGAAGCCGCTTATGATGAGAGCAGCCAGCAAGCCAGAGTTGCTCGGTCGCTTCAGGTCCATGACTATGTAAGTATTTTAAATCCAGAGCGCTGACTCCTGATTTACTGCCAACACTCTCTGATCCTTTATTTTGTTTTTGTTTTATTGCACCATCGTATACCATTTCCAGCTGTTCCGCTTGTTGTTTTTCTGTTACTTCAGGCAGGGACGGAGCCGGCCCCGGACGCTGTGAACAGGGAGGCGTATCACTCGTCAGTACCTCAAAGGCATCGGGCTGAACCTGCAGCCAAGCGGGGCAGAGCACCAGCCAAGCCGCCTCAGGATCCCAACGAAGTGTTTCCTTGCAAGAAATGCAGCCGGTCAGTGCTTCTGTTGGGCGTTTGTACAGCAGACTCTGGTACTTTGGCTACCAGGAAATCTGCAATATTCAGTAGAAAAACAGAGCAATAGATCAAAACGGAGCAATAGATGACTGTCAAAAAAAGACAAAGATAATTCAGAATAAAAGAATTGTTCAGTACATAAATTGAGTTTTTTGACAGGTTTACGTTGATAGGTGAAACAGAAAGGATGCAAATAAATGTTAAGATAAAGGTAAAAGGACAATAATTTTTTTGCTAGGTAATGTCAAATTTGAAACCTAAATCGGTGTCTATTGCAAATGAAAGCCACTTTCTGTCCTTTCAGCCTGCCTTTGCCTCACTGCAAACCGTCACTGTGCCTAAAACGCTGCACGTTTTATCTTTCCTCATAGGGTGTTTAACAAAGTGAAGAGCCGAAGTGCGCACATGAAGAGCCACGCCGAGCAGGAGAAGAAGGCGGCGGCGCTGCGCCAGAAAGAGCTGGAGGAGCAAGCCGCAGTGCAGGCCCGAGCCCGAAAGGCAGCCGCGGCGGCGGCCGTGGCGGCGGCGGCGGCCATTCAGGGAGGAAACGGGACAGGAGAGGCACAGCAGGCGGACCTCAGCGGCCAGGAAGACTCGTCCGAAGGAGAGGACGATGACGATGAAGACTGGCACTGAGCAGCAGCTCAACCCCGACAAAAACTGATGAGAAGGGCTGGAGAGACCATGAACAAAACAAGGATAAAGGGGTTGAAAGTGGTGTACTGCCCTTTGTAGGGAAAAACGAGCACAAGAATTTCAAGTCTTCCTATTAATCTTCATTCTGCTTTCTTGACCAAAAGTGTCTCCGTCTGATCATTTAGCTCTGTGCCATTAACCAGGCAGTCACACTCCACATTTTCACAAATATAGCATTTAAGTATTCAGATTTTTTTTTTTTTTTAAAGAAATGCACTTATACATTATCTTTCTGCTTTTGCCAATATTGCCTTTTTAAACCCTTTATTTAATTGAGGAAAAATGCCAAATCATTACACACATTCACTACGAAGACTCGGCGGTTTAGTGAAACTTTGTGAGATTTCTGTTTAGTAACGAGAAAATGACAAAAAAAGGAATTCAAAACCTTTTAACTAAAATTGAAGCGCTTGTGTCCAAAAACTCCACTGTGCTTGATTTTTCAGATATCCAGATTTTCAGGTTGGTTGTATACTTTATTTTTACAGTTTTTACAAGGGACTTTTTGAAATGAATGTGTACAAAAAAAAAGTATATATGAGATTGACATATATTTATGATACAGCATTTGCAATGATTTTGGTAATATAAAGAATAACCATGTTGGCTACAATATGACTGGGGAGTTAAAAAAATATATTAAAGTTTCTATTGTCCTGAGGTGTGTATTTTTTTATTTTAAGCGCCAAAATTGCAAGACATTAGTGAACCAGCAGATGGAGGCATATGTATGTTTTAGATCTGGGAAACCACCTCATCTCCGTGTTTAAGTTCGGATTTTGCGCACTAAGTCAGATAACTGTGGCTGAAATTCTTTCTGGACTGCGTTAGGATCTTAATGTACCCTCTGAGATGCCTCGTGCACTCATGCGGTGTGCCAGACAGGCTCCACAGGCCTATCATTTTCAGACTCGGGCCTGGAAAGCTGACTCGTTTCAGACACCAGGGTGTGGTAAAATTTAGTATTGACCAATGTTGACATGATTCAGCCATTAAAGAGCTCTCTCAGGAAAGGGAGATATTGCCGGTTGGGGATGAGATGAACTGCATATTGCCTCTGGATTGTGGGAGAACGGAGCATTCCTATTTCTGTCTGTCATCCTTAAGATGCTGATACAGATATGCTTGTGATCCCTGGTGTTACTTCCCCCTAAAATGCAGTAATCAGTTTCTAGTTTACTGGTAGAGTCAGATCAATTTCTACAGTTTGTATTTTTCACACTGTTCATAAAAGCCTGCTGAAGTAACAGATAACGTACTGAATATAAACAGCATCATATTCAGGATGCAATAATCTGCAACCTTTCAAAAGCTGAGAGACTCTTGAGCAAATTAACTTGACTACAAAGTTAACAAATGTTTCCATACCTTAGCCACAATCCTTTGTTCATTCCCAATTCCAACATATATGGAACACAGTGAAATATAAATGAAAAACTTGAAAAAACAAACATGAAAGTACTGGCACATGGCACTGATGAAGAATTTTTTGCTCTTTATTTTAGGACTTTTGTTTATGAGGCTGTTTAAAAGTGCAGCAGGTCATTAGACACTGCAGTGTTTCAGTGTAATAGAGATGACAGTGTGGTGTGTATTTATATCCCCTGAGAGTGAGCTTTGAGAAAGCATTATGGGCTTGCAGTGAAGATCAAACGTCCCCCTGAGCAGAGAACCTGCAAATAAAGCTCCATAAAAAAAGTGATGCACAGTAAAATAGTTCTAGGACAGAAGAGGAGATGAAGACATCACATGGCAGACAGGTGTGGATGACAGAGACAAGGCCAAAAAGCTTAATCAGTGTCACCAAACGCCTGCAAGAAAAAATGAGAAGATCAATGGCTCCACTCAAGCCCAGCCAAGGTTAAACCTGACACCAAGCAGAAAAATAATCTCTGTTCAAACAGTCTGCTGTAAAAAAACTAATCATTTTCCACGTCACATCTATGAGGCCGCTGGTCAAAGTCAGTTTTCCACACCTAAAATGCCCAAAATGTGTCAATTTTGAACAACTTCAACATCTGCTAAAAGATAGCTGACTAAAATTCCACTTTTGGCTCACTTTGTGTACCTTTACAGAGAATCACAGAGTGGATCACTGTGTTACTCAGTCAGAATGCCAAAATCTGACTCTTAATCTGGTTTAGCAGTCAATTTTGGAATGAATTCAATGATAAATTACGGCAATCTATTGAATGGAGCTTTACAAAGTGACGAGTGAACTTTGATCGTAACATCTGATCATTCAATCTGCAAAATTGAACCAAAACAGCGTAACATCAATGATAAATAATCTGCAGTGAGTACAAAATAATAGCCAATAGATTTCTTGCATTTTAAATGCAAATGCGTGTATGAATCCTTCAGCTCAGGCAGATTTACAGCAGAGGACGGCGCTCGGCTGCAGCTTTTCTGCCGTATTTAATGCTCATATCCTCCTCACATCCAGCTATCCTTGATGCTGAAACAAAATCATTTTGGCTTAATGACAATTGTGGCCATATAAGTGACAAACCACCAAGCTGGAACTCCGTGAGCTGCCAGTGGCCTTGAGAGATGTAATCTGCCTCGTGGACCTCTGGACTGCCTCTCACTTTGATTGGTTACATGCTTGTCATCTTTACACACAGCTTGCGGTCAGGTCATGCTCAGTGAACATAAAAGAGTCCCGTGCGCTGCTGCAGATCAGCTGCTACTCTATCTTCACGCTGCGACTCACTTAATGGAATTAAACCCATCTGTCTGTATTTTAGCCAGAGTCAGCAACATTACTCTTTCCCTGTTACGCAAATAGACCCTGACCAGAGACCATTCGTCTTCAGTGCAGCACGGCTGTGATGCCTTGAAAATATGAGCTGTCTGTGTCTCACACTAGCTTGTTGTATGAGATCTATATCTCATTTTAATAGATACGTAGGATAAAATGTTGCATCTGCTCTAAAGTAAAGGAACTCTCCTCCCTCTTGTCAGCTTTATAGCATTATGTCTGTCTATCTATCTATCTATCTATCTATCTATCTATCTATCTATCTCTACATATGTGTGTGTGCACACATGTATGTTGTTGTATAGCTGGATATTTCACCATACTTCTGCAACTCCCGACAGCAACTACAGAGAAGATAAAAGCAATTAGGAGTCAAGGACAGGCCTGATCCATTAAACTCCCGCTATGAGGGCTCAGCAGCTACGCTAGGCTTTGGGAGACACTTTGCTGGCATCGTTTGGGGTCTACTCGTTCCCTTAAAAGACAGGTCACTGCAATCAATACAAGGTTATGCTGAGATATCCAAATGTGAGCGTTCTCTTCCAAGATGAAAGTGTCCTTACCCATATTACATAGGGGTCAATGAAAAGTTTAACAACTTAGAAACTATGACAATCCATTTCATTAATCTTTTAAGTGACCAAAAATTAAGCTAGCACATTTACACAGATTTAGCTGACGGTGCTTATTATTTCCTGACCTCAGAAAGCGGAAAGATTCTCCTGACACTGAAGTGACTGAAAACCAGTGGCGGGCCGTGCATTTTACACCTAGGCCTTCAGTAGTGCTCCGTCTGAATCAATTCACCCCTCAATAACTATTTTATGGTTATAGAAATCATCTTAATATGTAGAAATACAGTAGGGATGTCCCGATCCAGCTTTTTGTATTAAAGTTGATTTTTTTTTTCTACTTACTTAGTTGTGAGACTCATGTTGAACAGGGATTTACTCTTATAACAACTAAAGTTTACACAGACCTGTGGGTTAGGAGATGCTAATGCTAATGCTAATGCTCGGGTGGGATCGGACTTTAAAAAAAAATGTATCTGGAGTCTCGATTGGCATTTTCTCATGCCGGCCGATACGATCCAAATATCGGATCAGGACAAGCCTAAAATACAGTCTAGAGATCAGGGGTGCACAAGTCTTCTACTCCTGCAGCTACAGCTGCGATCCCCCCCCCCCCAAAAAAAACACAACAAAACAAAACAAAACAAAAACATCAATAATGTCCTCATAAACTCGCAATACCATTTAGGAAAAAAACAACATTTTACTCACTTACTTTTCTTGAAAAGTCCGTTTTGAAAATGGTCTTGACAGTAAATCTGCCACGAAATAATAAAATAGCTATTACACTAACTAACACAACTATATTTCGGTTTGTTTGCTAGCTTTGCCCTGATTGGATATCTGACTATCCAATCAGCGGGTGTGGGTACGGTGGCATTTCCTGGGCCTTCGCGCAGGCCCTGGCATCACCAACCTAACATCTGATTGGTTGAAGCAACAGTGTACTCGACATGTATTTTCTGTGGGGGGGGGCTGCAGAACGTATTGTGAAGGCCTCCAGGCAGACATCTTTGACTTTGACCCTGCCTAGCGACAAAGGATGTCTGAAATGTGATTGGTTAAATGCTTTTATATGAAAATACATGTCTGGAAGCAGCGCAACCAGGGGAGAAGCTATGAAAGGAAGCTGACAGACTATTTAGAGATATTTAATACCTTTTTTATGGACAAAATATCATTAACATCAGTCTGTGATTCAGATATTTTCTTAGGCCTTCAGAGAAGGCCTTGCAGGCCCTGACGGCCCACCACTGCTGAAAACGAGTGTGTTCAAGCATTGTCTATCCAAACTGCTGGTAGAGCTGGAACCTGCCGATACCTGTGATTACAGCAGGTTCATTTCACGTTGGAATGAAAGCTGATAACTTTTCCTACTGAGGGCAAAAGCTTGATCCATTAATGTGCAAGTGGTGAGCAGTGCCTTCAAGATGCTGCAACGCAAAGTATGTCTATGATACAAGCCATGACCCCCATTAAATAACATTAGCACACAGAGCAAGGTGCTTCTTGGAAGGCAGCAATGGGTTAGAGTTCAGCTTGAGTCTTTCATGGCCGTTAAACTGCTCTATCTCTATGAGAGTGGATGTAATTGTCCTTAAAAAATGAGCCGTGTGAATAGATTAGTTCCAAATGAATTATTCCTTATAATGTGATACTGCAAAGGCCCACTGATGTTATGTGCCGTGAGGATATTCGAATCCCACAATGCAGCCGAGCATGAGCGGGTGGGAACGTAACGTTTCTCAAACAGTTTTGCATATTTTATCGGAGTCATCTAAATCACTGCAACCACGTCAGGGAAGTCGAGACCGCTCGCTCTGTCCTCTACAATGAAGACATCTCACGTAAATTACCCGACTCCTCCGTTGTCCTGACTCTGCAGAAATAAAGCTGCCTGGAAGGCCACCGAGCTGGGGTTTGAAATGATAATCCATGAGTGAAAGGACTGGTGGCTATGGCCCTGCCAAATGCACTTACTCAATGTAAGTGCTCTCAATTGAGGGCCCATTTCCTGACTCCTGCCCTTCTCCCCGTGAAAGATCTAAAGCTTTTGGTCCGCCTTCACGGTGGCTTAAGCATGACACTTTATATACAAGGACATATTTATAGCTTACTCTGCAATGAAATGAGGTTTCCTTCGGGGGAAATGAGTAAAAGAATACCACAAAGCGACTTTGCACTGAATAGTAATCTTGAGATGAGACTTTGGGCAGGTCGTAGTTGTTTGAGGCAGAAAATGTTTCTTATTAACATATTTAGACATTTTCTTACAATTTCTGCAGATCCATTAAACGCCCTAATGGGACTTTCAAAATACTTTC